TTATGCCTGTGTTTTAGGTATCTCTCTTTTTTTCTGTCTGTCTATCTGTCATATCTCCCTCCCTTCCTCCCTTCCTCTCTCCCTCTTCTCTCCCTTCTTCTCTCCCTCTCTCTCTCTATCTTTCTTCCTTCCTTCCTCTTGCCTTCCCTTTTTCCCTTCCTCTCTTCCTCACTTCTTTCCTTCTTCCTTTCTCCCTTCCTTCTCAATCCTGGGACTTGAACTCAGGGTCTGGGCATTGTCCCTGAGCTTCTTTTGCTAAGGCTAGCACTCTATCACTTGAGCCACAGTGCCACTTCCAGCTTTTTCTGTTTATGTGGTACTGAGGAATTGAACCAGGACTTCATGCATGCTAGGCAAGCACTCTGCCATGAAGCCACCTTCCCAGCCTCTGAGATATTTCTGTAAGTAAGACAGTAATCATGTTTTTTTTTTTTTGTGCTGGTGCTAGGCTTGAACTCAGGACCTGGGTGCTATCCCTGAACCGCTAGCTAGTGCTCTACCACTTGAGCCAGAGCTGCACTTCCAACTTGGTGATTAATTGGAGATAAGAGTCTCCCAGACTTCTCTGCCTAGGCTGACTTCCAACCATGATGCTTAGATCTCAGCCTCCTGAGTAGCTAGGATTATAGGCTAATATTTAGCACTTTATAAAATGTATCTTTTGGGAGAAATATAACTTGGTCTTTGGAATATATTTTCTTTTTTTCCCTAATGGGTGAAAAATACCAGAGACTATGAATCAATACAGATATAATAATTAGATTGTTCTTACACTGCCTTATAGAAGGGCAGATCTTGCTAAACACTTCTAATAAAGCACATCTTCGTTAATAACAGCAGTGTGTACAGTCTGTGCTACCAATGGAGATGGCTGTGTGTCTCTCCTGTGATCAATTTTTTTTTCCCATAAGTTGGAAGGTAGTTTGTGCAGCCTGGAGTCACTGGGGCAGCGGAATTTCACTTCTTTACTCTGTGGTGGAGCGCTGGCTAGAACTCAGTTGCAGGAAACAGAAGCCATGAGTTATTTTAAGCCAGGGAATTTTTTTTTCCTGGGGATAAAGGTTTACAGAATCATTGGAAAGATGTGATCTTAGTTTGCCAGGGGGCTGTAATGAGTGCCTGGGAGTTTGTTTTCTCCTGGTTCAGGAGACAAGGAGTCATAGATCAAGTGTTCAGTAGGTTTGATTTTTTTTTTCCCCATTGAGGCCTTTCTTCTAGGCTTGAGGGTGGCTGTCTTCTTCCTGTGTTTTCATGTGATTATCTTTTAGTCTTATGTGTGTCCCAGGGCTGCTCTTCTTTTTATAAGAACACAGTCTTCCCAGAGAGGTCTTACCCTTACAGCCTCATTTTAATCTAAATACCTCTTGGAAGATTGTGAATGCAGTCAGTCCCCTTCCTAGATACTATAGGCTATGATTTCAACATAGAGTTTTGGGGGTGGATAAAATAGAGTCCATAACTCCGGGGGAGTGGGATGTAGGCCTAGCTTCCAGAATTGACTCAAAGACAGGCTGTAAAACTAATGGTGGAGAGTCACCCCTTTGTCACAGGAAGTTTCTGCTGTCATTATCCCGTCCAGTTGAGTGTGTTCTGAGCTTTCATTTTATGATCTGGAAGCAGCACCAACCACCATCACAGTTAGTCATCTTGAGCTCCAGTCATCCCATCCACCTTCTAGTTAGAGGAAGGATGCAGGGCAGAATGTAGAGCTCTACCCTTTGAGGCTTCATTTCCTAGAAGCCTCTGTAAACGGCCTCTGTAAACAAAGGTTTTGTAGTATATCCAACACAAAGCACTCAGCAATGGCTAAGTTTCTCTTCCAGAGCCTGTTCTTGCAGCCCTTCTCATTTTCCTGTGAATGGCAATCAGATTGATTACATTTTCTTGGCCAAGTGCTTTCTCTCTGGCCAGAAAAATTAGTTTCTGAGGACTTATGTTGTAGTTGGTGATCAAAAAAGAGCAAAGGAGAGACCAGCAAAGGAGTTCTAAATATGCCTCTACGCTCTGTGTCTTTTGTTGGGGGTTGGTCACTACTGTCTTCTAGATCATAACTAACCATTCACTGTCTTCCCATAGCCTCTGATGGGAATATCAATGCCACGGAGTCCTTAACAATGGCTACCATACTGAATGGAACTGAGAAGTTTGAAACTCCCACCAAACCAGGTATTGTCATTGATGTTTTATACCCTGGAACCAGTTATCATTTTGAAACATTTCCATAAGGATCCAATGGGACCGGAGGGCCATCCTGGGAAGTTACAAATAGAACTGGTAGGCAAGTGCTTCCTGCCAAGTAGGGATGTTGCTTACCGGAGACCAGGGTCATTTATAGATGTCATTTTTTCTAAATTTCGTTTTTCATTTAAGTATCATGAAAATTTTAAATAGTTTATAATAGCAGAATACCAGCAAAAACAACACAGTCCACATATAAGCTTTCAACCAGAAACATTCATGGGTAAATTTGGGTGTATGTTATCTTTACAATTCTAAGATATATGTATAGATTGTTTTACACACCTTTAAGCCATTTTCCACATTTTGGGTCTTCTTTTTCCCCATTACTTGTTTATGATGATTAGTTTTCTCTGTAAACAGAAATATCTCTGCAGCATTAATTTATGATCTGCTTTGCACTCAGTTGTCCAAATTATAATAGGCATATAATAATAATAATAATAATCCAATACTGGCCCACTACAGGGTTCACTACAGGGTTGTACTGAAACCACCGCCATGCTCATGTATTTGTGACCTGCCTCTGGCTGCATTCATGTTAGAATTAAGTAATAACAACAATTTCTTTCTTTTAAAGCCTAAAATACTTGTTCTCTAGCTTTTATAGAAAAAAATATTTTGACCTGTAGATTTGATTATTGGTTCTTAAAGTATGGTCTTGGAATCCGTATGGGGTCCCTTTTGAGGAAATCTCAAAAGCTCTCTGAGATGTTATTATAAGCAATGCTAAATTGTTATTTGGCCTTTTCATTCTCTCATGAGTGTATGGTGGTATTTTACAGACGTTACATGATATAGGATGATGACATTGTCACAGTAATGGTTAATGTTATTATCATATATAAAAATCAACTAGTTGGGTGTTGGTGGCTAATGCCTATAATCCTAGCTACTCAAATGGCTTGAGATCTAGAAGATCATGGTTTAAAGCTAGCCTGTCCAGAAAAGTTTGTGAGACTCCACCTCCAAAATAACCCAAAATCTGGGTTTGAGACATAGCTCAAGCGGTAAAGTACCAGCCAAGTGAACTGGCCAAGTAAACACGAGGCCCTGAGTTCAGAACTGGCAAAAAAAATTGTTATTTATAATAGAGTATAAACATAACCTATATAAACAAAATTACTCTGGGATCCTTAATGGTTATTAAGAAGATAAAAGTGTCGATTTTTTTCTTAAAGCTTTATGAACTTTGATCTAGAGCTTTTGTAAGTTAAGAGGTCCAATGATGGTGAATAAAATTACAAGTCTAGGAATAAACAGGACTAGAACTAAGACCCAGTTTTTAAAAACATTATTATTATTTATTATTATTATCCCATGGTAGCACAGTATGTAACCTTTATTTTTGGTATGGTCTGTGTCAGGGGAACCTGAGCCTTGAGCAAATCTCAGGGGCTCATTTCAGATCACTCAACTACCTATGGGGCAGTTCTGCAAGTGTAGCTTTGGAAAGTAGACCTACAGAGCAGATGTTACTCTTGCATGTGTGTTTTAATCACAATCTTCTTTTTCTTCTTCTCCTTTTTTTTTTCTGTGTTCCTTGAAAACCTCTACATAGCACCCAGTCCTGTGTTTGACATTAAAATTGTTTTCGTCAGTCCAACCAGCGTGGGCCTCACCTGGGAAAACAATGACACAGTTGCTTCAAACTACACTTGCAGAATAAAGAATGAGATGGATAAGCCATGGCCGCTCACTGCTAATGATCAGAACCGGTGTAACCTCACAGGCTTGCGTCCAGGGACTTCCTACACATTCTTCATTGTCCCGGAAAGATCCAGTCATAATTGGGGATATCCCAGCAAAACTGTTACAACAAGTAAGGTGACAGGCATACAGTATAATCACGAACCCTTTTCTGTACCTTCGGACCTTGTCCATTCAAACTGTCTGTTAGAAAGAGCTTTGTTTTCATACTGTAGAAGAGGAGAAAGGGTACTGTGCTATGTCAAGCCAGGAGTTCAGGTAGCCAGATCTGTCAGGATTAGGGTTCTGTGTATTTTTGGAAGTCTTAACTTTGTCTCATCCATTTCGTTATAAACAAACAAAACCAAAAATTCTATTATTTTATTGGCTCAGACCTATTTTTCGGTAAGACCCTGGAGTGGAAGTGATCTCATTAGAAATAGGATTTGATGACCAGTCATTTCTCACCTTTTAGACTCCTTTGGACATTGATGTGGAATTTATAAATTCCCAGTAGTTTCTGTTGGGCAGGAAAGTTTGGTATACTTTATAGAAAATTTTGTGTTTCAAATGAAATGAAAGTGACATGACATTTAGATTTTAATTAAGGGTTAACAACTTTAGATTGAGGTTTAGCTTAGGCTTCAGTACCTTTACAAGTTGTTATAGCTGCAAATTCAGCAGCTATTTTTTTTAAGATGAAAAGAATACAAAGAAATTTACAGCTGGATGCTTGCCTATAATCCTGGCTTCTACGGTAAGAGAAAAAGCAGCCCTTCGTGTGTGTGTGTGCCTGTGTGCCTGTGTGCCTGTGTGCCTGTGTGTGCCTGTAAGAGAAAAAGCAGCCCTTCGTGTGTGTGTGTGTGTGTGTGTGTGCCTGTGTGTGCCTGTGTGTATAAAAGAAAAGTAGGAGAAGGAAGGGGGAAAAGGAGAGGACAGTAGGGAGAGGGTTTGATAGGTAGGTAGGTTGGTAGGTAAGTAGATAGATAGATAGATAGATTGATTGAATATATAACATGAAGTGAGCCAGGTTCATGTAACATCTCCTTTTGGCCATGGAACAGACAAGCACTAAATTAATGGCTTCTAGTGGCTTTTTTTCTAAAAGCATTTTCAAAGTTTAGCCAGTTAATTATTTTATTTATTTATTTTTGGGTCCAGTTGTGGGGCTTGAACTCTGGGCCTGCGCGCTGTCCCTCAGCTCTTCAGCTCAAAGCTAGCACTCTATCACTATGAGCCACAGTGCCACTTCCGGCTTTTTTCTTTTTGCTTATGTGGTGCTGAGGAATGGAACCCAGGGCTTCATGCTTGCAAGGCAAATGCTCTACCATTGAGCCACCTACCCAGTCCCTATTTTATTTTTTGTGCCCATACTGGGGCTTGAACTCAAGGCTTGGGAGTTGTCCTTTGGCTTTCCACTCAAGGCTGGCTCTCTACCACTTGCGTCACAGCTCCATTTCTTGCTTTTTGGTGGTCAGCTGGAGATTAGAGTCTCATAAACTGTCTTACCTGGCAGGCTCCCAACCTTGATCCTCAGATGTCAGCTTCCTGAGTAGTTAGGGTGGATTATAGGGGATGAGCCACAGGGTACTTAGCTGTGCTGAGTGTTTTGATGACAGTTGACTTAAGATACTCCATTTCACGAATGTCCATTTTGTGTTTTTCAAACAGAGCCTCTTCCAGTGTCGGACCTTTGTGTTGCTTTCATGGGTGTGACACAGGTTGTTCTTACCTGGAGCAAGGACAATGGCACTGAATCTTACCGGATAGTTCTTCAAAGCACTAGCAACCATAGCAAGATGGTTGATGATTTAGCAGTCACCATTTCAGACCTGAAGCCAGGGTTTCGACATGTGGTCCAGTTTCTTCCAAAATTACATAAGACACCAAGTGATACCACGGAAGGTGGCTTGGGTGAGTTACACAAGAGTAAGTGCTGGTGTTGACTTTCAATCACTTTTTAGTTTGAAAAAAAATATTGTTCTCATGTATGTATGGAGTTAGGCTTTTGATTTCAAGTGACAGATGGAAACTAGAATGGAAACAGCAATTTGTGGTCCATGTATATTTTCCGCATTGTAGGCAGCAAGGTATTAAATGAACAAGATGCTTCTCATCCCTTTCTTTTGCATCATTATGTGTAGCAGCTTTGTTTTTCAGAGTGGCTCCTTCCACACAGGTCAAGGAGAAAAGGCCATTCATTAGGCCTTTCCATTTTCACACTTTTGGTTCAGCGAACGCATTCCTTGAATGGGCTCTGGGTAGCTGTCCATGGGAAATCATGCTGGAAGAATATAAGGAGACTGGTCCCAAGATCATAGTTGAGAGAGAATGCAAGGTCTCTGTGGCATTCCTGGGACAATAGTATGAAGTGATATATCCAGACAGAGATATTTATGAAGTGCCAACAGTGGGTACTGTTGGATGAATCATCATATGGATGGTGTGCTGGAAGATGGAGGTTGTGTCCCTTTTGTGGTCGATATCTTTGCTTTTGTGTTTAAACCAGATACCAACAACACAGAGAGAAGCCCAGAGGTGAGACTCCTACCAGACAACAGCCCCGTGGCTCCTGGCAAGGAGTCCCGAGGCATAGAAGTTCAGCTCGTCGGGTTAGAGTCTGACACTCAGTATACAGCCACTGTTTATTCTCAAGCAGCGGATTGCACAGAAGGACGGCCCCAGAACATCTCTCCCACTGTTTATTCTCAAGCAGCAAATTGCACAGAAGGACAGCCCCAGAACATCTCTTTCCTCACAAGTATGTGGAATTTTGTGAAACAGTTTTATCTTTGAGATTCCTTGCTTATAGTTTTGCTTTTGGATCTGAGTCATTTCTGTTGTCAGAGCGTTTTCGGGGTGAACTTTGGAGTAGAGCAGACAGTTGAGTTTCTTCAAACCTCTGTGGTCACAAAGCTCACTAAGAGGTTATTGAACAGTGTATATTCAGTAAAGATGCTGGGCACTGCCTTACGTCTTTCCTGTTTCTGCATATTAGCCATGGAGGCATACTGCTTTAGAACGTTGTTATCTTCTGCAGCCATTGGGTGGAGCTTTTCTACACCTGGGATAAGAAAATGAATTTCTGTTTTTAACTTGCCCTTCGAATGCACACGGACCTTTCTATTGAAACACATTGACATGCCAATTGCTGCTTCTGAGTTCTTCCCTGGCCCACTGTCAATTTGCTAGAAATATGCCCAGATTCCTCCCTCCCTCCCTCTCTCCATCTCTTTTTCTCTCTCTCTCTTTCTCTCTTTCCTTTCACCAGTCCTGGGGCTGGAATTCAGGTTCTGGGCACTGTCCCTAAGTTTCTTTTGCTTAAGGCTAGCACTTGAGCCACAGTGCAACATCTGGGCTTTTCTGTTTATGTGATACTGAAGAATCGAACCCAGAGCTTCATGCGTGCTACACAAGCATTCTCTACCACTAAGTCTCTTTCTCAGCCCTGTGTCCAGGGTTTTAGCTCTCAGAGAGTTTGTAACATAAGGGAGTTGAGACGTACGGACATGGGAAACTGCATGCAGTTGAGCCCTGCGCTCAGGATCCAACGCTGCATTGCATTACCACAAGCCCTTAAGGGCTTGGTGGCATGAATGGACTTGGTTGTCTTACCCAATTTTAAAGGACTCATGGGCTCACAGAACTGAGGGAATGAAGGTTGAAATTGGAGTGGTAGAGATAGGAAACCAGCTGGTACCCAGGAGACTCTGTGGGGATGTGGGTGGGTGGGTGGGGTGGGTGTGAGTAATCCCACATCCAGTGACACACTCAGGAAGTTCCTTTGAAGTTCCTGGAGGGACAGACTCACTGAGCAGGGACACCCGACTCTTTTGGGACTCTTGTACACTCTAGACATAGTTATATGGTGAAGATGGGGAGCAATTGCCAGGCTGATAAAACCCCTTTATAACTCGTGTGTGTGTGTGTGTGTGTGAGAGAGAGAGAGAGAGAGAGAGAGAGAGAGAAGAGAGAGAGAGAGAGAGAGAGAGAGAGAGAGAGAGAGAGAGAATGTGTGAGATGGAGCTTTTGTGGTCAAGGCTAAGTGCTCTACCACTTGAGCCACAGCTCCATTTCTGTTTTGTGTGTATGTGTGTGCATTTAATTGGAGATAAGAGTCTCATGAACTTGCCTGTTGAGGCTGGCTTGAGATCTTTAGATCTCAACTGCTTGAGTAGCTAGAATTACAGGTTTGAGGCTCCGCAACAACTCATTATCTGGTGTGGTCATTTTTTTTTTTTTTTACTTCTTTTTTGTTTTTACAGATTCTGCTCAGGTTTTTGACATCCAAGTTGTGGTCATCAATGCTACAAGCATGACCCTCACCTGGAAAGACAAATATAATGGGTCGTCTGCTGCCTATACGTACAAGGTCCATGTGGCTGGAGGCACTCATTTCCTCAACTTCACTGTCCCCGAGAAAAGTCTCGTCATCCTGGGACTCCACTCAAGCACCTTGTACAATGTCACGGTGTTTCCTTTCCTGGAAGACGTTGAGGGAGTGCCGGGCTTTCTCCAGGTGTACACCCGTGAGTTCCTTTGGTGCTCTGGCTAACCTTTCTTGTGGTCTATCATGTGCCAGGCCTAGATTTGAGGAGAGGGTGCTTTGTTCCTTTCCTGAAGGAATGTGCAGAACTGTATAGGGGCCCACAGGGACTCCTACAATAGTGACCACAGCCAACACTGAGCATCTTGTAATGTGCTCTCTTTTCACTGGAGCACTGAATGCTCGCAATGGCCCTGTCATACAGCTAATCTGATTTTATGGATGAGGAAGCCAAGGCTGAGAGAGGTAATGTAGTGTCACATCACCTCTCTACTAAGTGACAGATATGACATTAGGCCCGTAGGAGACTTAATGATGCATTGAAGATAAAGTAGCCAGGAGCCATAAGTTTCTATTCTAGAACCTGAGCCCTTAGCCATGAGCAAGGAGAGTCTTTGCCTCTGCTCATCTGTGAATGACTTTGTACAGTTTAAATGCACAGTGTCTGTATTCTGGTGGCCAGGTATTCTCTCCATGGGACAAACACCAGCTTGTGTTGCAGTTGATGATACAAATTTTTAAAAAAGGGGTCCTAAATGTGCTTTTTTAACTCTCAGTGTTACTATTTTTTGAAGGTTAGTTATGCCTGTGTTTTAGGTATCTCTCTTTTTTTCTGTCTGTCTATCTGTCATATCTCCCTCCCTTCCTCCCTTCCTCTCTCCCTCTTCTCTCCCTCCCTTCCTCCCTTCTTCTGTCTGGTCTTGCTATGTAGTCCAAGCTGGCCACCGTGTGAATCATGACACTTAGCCCAGAACTAGAGTTTTTTTTTTTTTTCCAATTTATTGTTATTATACAGGTGAAGTACAGAGGGATTACCATTACATGATTCAGGTAATGAGTACATTTCCTTTTGTACAGTGCCTTCCCTTCCTTCACAGAGACAAGACATTTTTAATCTCGTGTACTATTTTACTATCTTTCCCCTCAGCTCCTGGTCCTGTCTCCCACTTTCAAGTGACACTTGTCCGCTTAAGGGAAATTGGCTTAGCTTGGAACAGCAGTGACTCAGATTTCTTTAGGATTGTTACCACGCAGGAAGAAACTGGAAACCATCAAGATAATGTGACGACCACCAACCAAACAATTATCATCGATAACTTAAAGCCTGGAACCAGTTATCGTTTTGAAATATTTCCACAAGGACCCAATGGGACAGAAGGGCCATCTCAACAAGTTACAAGTAGAACTGGTAAGCAAGTGGGCTGTGCTTCTGTTAAACAGGGATGTTGCTTAAAGGAGAGAGGAGTGATTTATAGATGTCACGTGTTTCAAGTATTGCCCTCATAGTAAGGGAAAAAAACCCTTAAGAATATTTCATAACTTTATACGATGATACAAAGTGTACTGATGAACAATAACAAAATTCCCCTAAGGTAAATCATCAACCAGAGTTAATTACTGATAAAATACGTACATACATATTTTTTTTCTATAGAGTAATTTAAAAAATGTTTCTTTTCCAAATAGTTATATAAAGGGGTTTCAATTTAGCATACTGATTTATGTTTACAGTGTATCTTGATTAGAGTCTTTCATTCCTCACGTGTCCCCAAACTATCCTCCAACCATCCCACCTTTACCGCTTTCTGCGAGGTTCCTAGTTTCATTTTCACGCAGGTACATTGGAATATTATGGTTGTATTCACCAATCATGTTCCTCTTTACTCATTTGTTTGCTCTCTTCCAATTAATCCTCACTCCTCTCAGATAAAGCATCTTTTAGTTTCCTGGCATTCATTTTGTTGAACTGTTAATTGTTCAGAGGGGTTATACTGTGGCAATCTCACTCCTACCCATACCACCCTGTGATCCATTTGGTTGTGTATATGCATGTGCATGGACTTCCATGTGTTTTCAGATATGTCCATGTTTCAGGTCTAACTCCCTCATGTGAGAGAAAATATGTGCTCTTTGACTCTCTGAGGATGGCTTCCCTGAAAATGATAGAACTTACAGGGTAATTTTAACACGTGTCTTGTATTCCATTGTCTGCCTGTCAGATACAGATGGCCCTCCATAGAGCTCATCTAGGGTCCTGGGGCTTGAACTCAGGGCCTGGGCACTGACCTTTTTGTGTTCAAGGCTAGCATTCTGACACTTGAGCCACAGTTCCACTTAGAAGAGTGGCTTTGAACCATGATCCTCAGATCTCAGTCTCTTAAGTAGCTAGAGGCATGATCCAGAAGTACCCAGTGTGGGCTTTAAAAACTGATACTGGGATTTGAACTCAGGGATTTGCCCTGGCTATACAGGAACTCTACTGTGGAAGCACATCAGCCCTTTTTTGCACTGGTTATTTTGAGTTAGGGTCTCACCTTTTGCCCTGGTACACATCTGGACCATGATCCTCCTATTTTTAAGTTTCTCATAGTAGCTGAGATGGAATCTGGCAGGTAATGTACATCATAGCTAGTTTCTTCCATTTAGATGAAATCTTGGACTTTTCTATCCTATCCTGGATAGTCTTTTTTTTGGGGGGGGGGTCTGGTCGTGGGGCCTGAACTCTGGGCCTGGGTGCTGTCCCTCAGCTCTTCAGCTCAAGGCTAGTGCTCTACCACTTGAACCACAGCGCCACTTCCGGCTTTTTTTTCTTTTTGCTTATGTGGTACTGAGGAATCAAACCCAGGGCCTCATGCATGCAAGGCAAGCGCTCTACCTCTGAGTCACCTTCCCAGGCCATATCCTGGATAGTCTTGAATCATGATCCTCTCGATCACAGCATCCTCAGAAGTTAGGATTATGGGTATGAGCCATGGTGCCTGGCTCTCACAGTTATTTCAATATGACTGATGATATATCGGGACTGAATGAGGGCTTTTCCACATCAACTGAGCTCTGATGCACATGTTGGAATTAAAAATGTTTGTTTTTGAAACTTGTTCAGATTTTAAAAACTGATTATTATTAATATGAATATTATTAATCAGTGCATGGTGAGAACTGTGTGTAGTCAATCCACAAATGAGGTTAGGTTTCACACTTCACCCTTTGTAGACTCATTGGAGAGATGAGTAACAAAATAAACCATTTATTTTGACAGACACTTTGAAATGAAGCTGAGTATCACTATGGTCATGAACAATTTTTTTTACCCCTTCTTTCCTTCTGAGCAGACTCCAGTGCCGTGTGTGACATCCATGTGGTCCATGTCACCACCACCGAAATGCAACTGGAATGGCAGAACAGAGACAATGTTTCTGGATACATCTACCATTTAGTTATACAGTCTCAGTATGGCTCCAACAAAACCAACAGTTCTGAGAAAAACATCATTCTGGAGGACCTCATTCCTGGGACATTGTACAATGTCACAATCACTCCGGAAATAGACCAAGTCCAGGGGGATTCGGGCTCCATCGCACACTACACACGTAAGTCTCTGGGCCTTTTGCTTGGAGGGAGCTTGCTAAAGGATGGAAAAGGCCCATTATATCTCTGGGTTTCCATTTGATATTTAGCTGCTTCACATGGACATAGCTGCCTAGCCAAAGGCTCACCTGTTCCCTTGGTCCATTGTGGTTAAAGCCATGTGAACATGGAATTGTTTTGAGAGGCAGAAAGTGACTGACTTATCCCATGAAAGCAGAGGACATTGGCGATCTACTCATCCCTTGGGAACAGATCTTTTTTTTTTTTTAATTGTGAAAATACTGTACTGAGGGGTTACAATTACATGGACAAGATAATGAGTACATTTCTTATCAAGCATTGTAGCCTCCTCCTTTGTTTCCCATCCCTTCCCATCCTCTCTTCCCCCCACCCAATTAGAGTGACCAGATCTTGTAGCACTGGAAGATCCAGCACTGATGAGGAGCTTTGCTTGGGGCTTGAACTCTGGGCCTGGGTGCTGTCCCTGAGCTTCTTTTGCTCAAGGCTAGCATTCTATCACCTAAGCCACAGTTCTGGCTTTTTCTGAGTAGGTTATTGGAGATAAGAGTCTCATGGACTTTCTTGCCTGAGCTGGCGTTGAACCCCCATCCTCAGATCTCAGCTTCCTGAGAAGCTAGGATTACCTGTGTGAGCCACTGCCTCCAGCCCTGTAAGACTCTTATTTCCAATTAATCACCCAAAAGCCTGAAATGGAGTTGTGATGCAAGTGTTAGAGCACTGTCCTTGAGCAAAAATGCTCAGGGACTGTGCCTAAGCTGTGAGGTCAAACCTCAGTACCAGCACAAAACAAACAAAACCAAAAGAGTCACAGACTTTCCTGCCTGGGCTGGCTTCAGACCTCCATCCTCAGATCTCAGCTTCCTGAATAGCCAAGATCATAGGTGTGAGCCACCTGTGCTTGGCTAATTTTTTCTTTTTAAACCCAGGGCCCAGCAACGTGTCCTACATTGTAGTGGAGCCCAATACCACAGCAGCAGCCTTCCACTGGGATAACACAGATGCAGCCTCAGCAACGTACTCCTACCGCCTTGTTATCTCACAGGCTGAAAGCAGCAGCATAACCAAAGTGATCAAAGACATGGGAGTCACTTCCGTGGTAGTCACGGAGTTAACACCTGGCTCATCCTACACAGTGGAGATCTTTTCACAAGTGGGGGATGGTCTTGAGTCAGGGCCTGGCTTGGAGTTGTTCTGTACAGGTGAGTAGTCTCTGGTGCCCCTTGGCCTCCTTTCTGTTTGGTGGCCACTTGCAGGTACTTCTTCCCAGCCTGTGGGGCAAAGGCCCTGAGGTTGGAGACCCTGTGTGTTGGAGGAAGAATAGGAAGTTAAGTATTAGGAGTGGATCCATGGGAGCAGGACATGAAGCTGGAGAAGTAGGGGGCCAGGGTATGAAAGATGTCTGGCCGTGTAGTTCCTGACTTTTCCCTTTATATGGACAGGCAATGACAAGAATGCTCAGCCTTTTTGCCCCTCCTGACAAGTACCTGTCTCATAATTCAGAAAGTTGTGATGAAGAGCAGAGCCCAGATGAGCGCTGTGTTCTGGGGGACCCCTGGGGAGGCTCTGTAGATTCAGGAGAGTCTTTGGCTCCCAGCTCAGAGGTTCCTTTGTAGCCTCTGTACCCTGGACTACCTCATTCTGTCCCCTTCTCTAGAGTGCCCCACTCAGGTGAGTTCAGGCTGATTGGAAGTGGGGGGGGGGTCTCAGTACCTTCAGTCTCCCTGATGGTACTTGAGCTGGGCCCTTGCCCTCTGACTATTCATATGGGTGATTAAAAAATCCCTGTGGGGGCTGGGAAGGTGGCTCAGCAGTAGAGTGCTTGCCTTGCATGTATGAGGCCCTGGGTTCGATTCCTCAGCACCACATAAGCAAAAAGAAAAAAGCCGGAAGTGGCGCTGTGGCTCAAGTGGTAGAGCGCTAGCCTTGAGCT